TATGTATATGTATATTTATATTTATATACATAACAAACTTTTCTCTCAGCAAAAATAGTTGAGAATAGAAAAACCAAAATTTCTTTTGGAATTTGTCAAAAGGGTGTTGTGTTATCAATTATATGTTGAATTTTCAAGAACTAGAGCATTTAATAGTTTGTTTTTCAAAATTGATAAACATCTTATTCAAGGTATAGTAGGTAAAAAAATGTAACATAAATGTTGTTATATTTTTTAATGTTCTTAATTTATAGTCTTTAGATTTTCATTTCGAAAATTTACTGTTAAAGGTTGTGAGCACATTATTTATGTATAACTTTATTTATCATTATTTTTTTTTTTTTCATAGTTTTTGATAAATATATCTATCATTCAATAGTTGTAAAATGTGTTTATATGTGTTATAAAGTCATATTTGTTTATAGTTGTATATATGTTTAAACTATAAACATATATACAACTATAAACAAAAAAAAGCCAAGATAACAATTTATATCTTAGTTTGATTTTTTTTTTTTAGTATTGTTAATGCTTTTGTACTTCGAAACAGATTTTATAGTTACATTTTCAATAAATCTTTAACTGCAATTTCAAAATAGGTTACTATAAATAGCTAAATCAAATTTTGGTAATTGTGCAGTGGTTTTTGTTTTTTTTCTTCTTTGTAATTATGATATCATAATTTCATTACTTTTTTATTTTAGAATTACGTTATGACGCATTTATAAGATTTATAAAATAAAAAAACTTTCTTTTTATTGTAAATTTTTGATTTCTTTTTATTGTAAATTTTTGTTAATTAAAAAGATATATGCTATTAGTTAATTTTATATTTTATCTATTTTATGCCTGATAATTTGTTGTACGTATTTTAAGGGGATCTTTGTAAATGGGGGATCATAACTAAAACTCTTTAAAAACATGGAGAATATTGTAGTTTTGTGCATTAATATCGAGTTACTCAAGTTTTATTTATGTTTAACTCATTAGTTAGCTTAGTCTGCAACATTTTTGAGGAAAGAAAGAAAACATTTTTATATATGTAGATCATTGTTTTACATTTTATTATTTTATTTTATTCACCTGGTCACCATTAAAGCACAAAGAGGGGAGGAACCTCTTTATTAGAGTCAAAATATTTAAGAAAATTAAACTTCGAGTTACAAAAGGAGTTTTTAGTAAATGGTGGCAAAATACCGTTTACTAAAAATTAATGAAATAAAGAGGCCAAACAAATGATATAGAAATGGTCTGTGTTGAACAGACTTAACAAGACTCGGCTCGGGTCAGCTTAGTTTACAAATTTTTATGTCTACTTATCTGTTATAATTTTTATTTTAGGTTTGTCACATTTTTTTAAAATTATTATACCCATGTTTGATCGTAAATTAAATTTTTTTTGTTTGAAACGTATTTGTACTCAGTTGCTTAGTTATTTATAATAAACTTTGTTATTTTTAATAAATTTATTTAAATGTGTGCATTTAATTTTTAAGTTAACAATTTTCTTTTCTAAAGAAAAATTAATCAAGGGGATACCAAAAAATTGATAACTCCTGTATAATATAATTTATTATTTTTAACTTTATTTTAATCTTAATGGTTCGTGTTATAAAAATTATTACAAGGATTTCATTGATACTTTCGTCAATTTAAAGCATGACGAAGTGTTATTATTTTGTGTCAGTAACTAAAAACGTATTGTGTTAAACTTATTAAGGTTGATGAAAATGGTTCTATCTTACACTGTTATGACCTATGCCATTTGTAAATTACTCAAATAATGTTAAGTAGTAATTGTAAATGTTAAGTAGTAGTTGGTAAATTATTTTACCTCCTCATACTTTTTATGTTAATTTTACAGATGGATTAATTTTTTCAAGCAGAAGGCAATTTTCTAAAAGGATATTAGTTAAGGTTTTGCAACATTAAATTGTGGAAAACAGCCACTATAAATTAATTATGTAACAGACCGACCAAAACCTGTATTACAGTTGCTTTTTGCTAGTATTTAATATTCACGCAAAAAAACATTGTGTTAATCATTTCCATTTCTCAATTGTTTTGTCAGGTTTATTATTGTTATGAAAACTAAACTTTATAAAACTCAAATGCTGTAATATAAATGCAGTACTATTAATCTCACTCAAGTTAACAATCAAAGCACTTACCAACACACGTAGCATTATCTTGAGACAACATCCATCCTTTGTTACAAGAACAAAAATAACTGCCGATTGTGTTATTACATACTCCGCTGATTAAAGAACAAGGAGGATTGCTACTTGCACATTCATTTACATCTTAAAAAAAAAAGTGTATAATTAATAATCAATGTGTAATATCAATGTATATAAATTAATATATATATAAAAATACTAAAAAGCTACCGACACAGCTAGCATTATCTTGACCCAATGTCCATCCTACTTTACATGAGCAAAAAAAACCGCCATTTGTATTCATACATACTCCGTTGCTCCATGAACATGGAGGATTGATTTGAGTACATTCATTGATATCTAAACAAATTTATAAACATTTATAATTTAAATATCAGAAGAAAAACTAGTACTTTTTGAATTTTGGGAACTTAATGACTTGATTAGTAAAGCAATAACAGAGAATATAAAAAATAACAGTTTTTGTTAAACAATTGTCTTCAGTTATCGTGAACATCACTAGAACATAAATTTAAAAACATACCTATACAGCTGACACCATCTTGACCTAAAGTCCATCCTGTGGTGCAGGAACAATAATAGCTGCCATTTGAATTAGTACATACTCCATTTGTCCAAGAGCAAGGAAGATGAACACCGCATTCATAATTATCTATAAAACACACACACACACACTTGTATATATACAAATTTATGTACAAATTTAGTATACTAGACTACTAACTGAATTGTTCAATATAATAAAACATAAGAGCGCTTTCCCATTAATAAAAACTGTCTGGATATTACTCTTTGTCAAATAATATAGTATTCAATAAATAAAAATACTAAATATATTATATCTGAAAACAGTTCCTTAGGTGACTTGGTTTGTGCAGTGTGCTGGGTTGAAAAGTACTAGATCCATGTCGCTATCAGAAGTCACCACCCGAATACAAGATATGATCAAATTCTATATATATGATGGTTATGATAAAAATGTTATGGCTTATCCTAATGTCATATGTGGTAATTGTAAACAAAATTTATACCTTCTTAAGAGTGGCCATACTTATAGAGGATCATGAGGAGTTCAAGTTGCTAAGGTAATTTATATACTAATACTTTATGTTTAAATCAATTTGTTTTATACTAATACTATAGTAAAGTAAAAATAACAAAGGACCACCCATATAGAGCATTCATACAAAAATTTCAGCCTCTTAAAATAACATTGAAATAATATACATTTAAACATAAAGTCTTTGTGTTTAAATGTATAATATTTTAATGTTATGTAAAAGAGTTTAATTTTTTCATACATATAAAAATATTATACATTTAAATATTATTATAGGCTATAAGGATTGTCTTTTACTCCTGCTCATTGGTGGCAGTGAAGACAACAAATGATAATATACAATATATATTTAGATATATAATATAACTAAAATAAATTGTTACAAACAAATCTATTTGCATAATTATTTGTTAAGTTGTAGTTAGTTAATTTGTAATTTTATTAATTTGTAAGCTGAAATGGTTTAGGTTGATTGGGCTAACAAAAGGGGATCTTCAGATTCATGTTTGGGTATCAGTGTTCCAACATTTGCTGAACCAAAAGCGTCTGAAAAAGCATGCAGCATTTGTTTTCTTGTTACTGAACCAAGCATTTTTTATCAGTGTACACAAGCTGCTGTTGTAAACAACTTGATTGGCCACTGTTTACAATTAGGAGAATATGCAGAACAATTAACCAGTGCAATAATTTAAAAAAAAAACGGAGAGCGAATGTATAGAAAAAGGGACTGTTTTCAAACTAAAAACACGAGGAACACCTATCTCTATTAGAGTTAGAGCTCCCACTTTAAAAAGTAACAGATGTAGTAAACAACTTTCTCTTCAAACAGTCATGGAATTGCAAGTCTTCCTTGTACTTTCTGAAAATTCAACAAAAAAACTTTGTTCTACATTTAGGACTGGAATAAATGGAAGAGACTCTGTTGAAGGAAATACAGTTCAAAAACTTTATAATCTTAAAGTAAAACTTGATGAATGTTGTAGTGTAGAGGAAGTTGAATTTGTTTCTAACCAGAATGAACCTATCATGAGAGATTTAGTTTATGTTAAAAATCCTTCTGATTTAATCCTGCATATTATTAAAGAAAGAGGTATAAATCCATGTGTAGGTTTTGTAAGAGTTTCTTTAGATGGTGGAGGAGACTTCCTAAAAGTTGTTGTGAATGTTTTTGAGGAAGAACAAGAATCTGAAAATAAATTTTAAATAGCAGAGTTTAAAAAGTTCTTATTTTAGCAGTTGTTGAAGATATTCCTGAAAAATGTGAAAACCTTAGATTAGTGCTTGAGAAACTTTTGAAGATTTAAACTATTATACTGCTTTTGATCTTAAATGTTTTATTTGGCCTTTCATCACACGCAGGTAAAAATGCTTGCTTGTGGTGTAGTGGCAAGTGTACACTTGATATTGGAACTTTTAGAACTATTGGCAATCTTGATTCCTGTTATGAAGTGTATATTGAAAATGGATCCATTAGATCTTCCATGAAGGAATTTGATAATATTATAAACAAACATCTAATATATCTGAACATGGATACTAATACTTTGCTAGAAAATTTAGTTGCTCAGCCTGAATTACATCTTCTTATTGGAGCAACGGATAAGATAGCAGGATTTCTTTTAACTGAGTTGTGGTTAAAAAAACATGATATCCTCTTTTAATTATATAAAAAAACATTATATAATTAAAAGAGGATATCATGGAGTTGGATGGGATGGTAATAATGCAAATAAAAATTTAAAACTACTTGATTCACTTTAACTTGAAGTGCAACTTAAAGTACCATATTTACTTTCAGTAGTCCAAAGCTTAAGAGCTTTAAAATCAGTAAAAGAAGCTAGTTTTGGAAAAAAATTTGATTCTGAACATAAAATATCATTGTTTAGAGATACTTTTCTATGTTTACAAGAAACAGCTTCTTCACTTTGAAAGACAAACATTTTCATGGAAAATTCACATTATATTTTGCCATGTTTTTCCTTTTGTAAAGAATGCAGTATGTGGCTTGTCAAAGTATACAAAACAGCATAGTGAAGCAATTCATGCAAAGTTTAAGCCTACATGGCAACGATATAAATGCAATATTGATCATAATAAAGATAGATTGAAAACTGCTGTTGTTAATTTTGGAATTAAAAGATTATAATATTTAGTTTTATATTGAAATTACATTTAGTATAAGTTATTTATTTCATTTTGTTGTTAAATAAAGCTGTCTAATAAAAAATCATGAGATTGTGGCAAACTCTTTTTCCAATAAAACCCAACACTCAGCCCAGGCCCACCTCAGTTAAATGTATCTTCAAAGAAAAAAGTTATAATGATGTAAAATAAATTAAAAATAACTTAAAGGTTTTAAATTTCATTAAAAATACTATCCAGGAGCAGTCGCAAAGTAAAATTAACAACCCCCTCATTTTTTGATTGGGGGAGTAGGTTCAGAAATTTGTGTTTTTTTAACTCTTAGCAAGTGAAATTAATTTTGATAATGATTAAACCATGTTAGTTTAATGAAACAAAACTTTATCAGTGAAAAAATCCCAGGTGACACTCCATCAAACCTAATATGCTCTCTGGTCAACAGTGATATATATGTATATATATATATATATATATATATATATATATATATATATATATATATATATATATATATATATATATATATATATGAATATATATATATATATATATACATATATATATATATATATACATATATATATATATATATATATATATATATATATATATATATATATATATATATATATATATATATATATATACATATACATATATATATATATATATATATATATATATATATATATATATATATATATATATATATATATACATATATATATTTATAATATATATAAATAATATATATTTATATATTATAAATACATATATATATATATATATATATATATATATATATATATATATATATATATATATTATAAATATATATATATATATATACATTATAAATATATATATATATATATATATATATATATATATATATATATATATATATATATATATATTTATAAATATATATATATATATATGTATACATATATATATATTTATAAATATATATATACATATATATATACATATATATATATATATATATATATATATATATATATATATATATATATATATATATTATATACATACACACATACATACATACATACATACATACATACATACATACATACATACATACATACATACATACATACATACATACATACATACATACATACATACATACATACATACATACATACATACATACATGCATGAGTTAGTTTAACCATGTGCATTTAGATCAAGTCTTTTGTTAAACTTTGTTCAAGTATTTGTGCATTTAGATCAAGTCTTTCGTTAAAACTTTGTTCAAGTATTTCTCTGCTATGTTACAAATTAAACACATTTCTGATAACATGTGTGCTTTCTTTATATAATTATTACAGTTAAATGAGGAATTACTACAGGTACAACAAGAAACTACTGCTTTTCTAGAACTTTTAGCTCTGATGTCAAATATTGTTTAAGAACCAAATCTTCTTTTATTTTAATTTATTTTAATTAGTTTTTATTTTAATTTATTTTAATTAATAATTAATTCATTTTTTTTCACTATATTTTTGATTATATTTTAAATGAATAATAAGTGCTTCTTGCAAGTGTATTTGATGTTGATGATAATGAAATAGCTTTGTATAGCTATGTTGAATGCTTTTATGTAACACTAATATACTTTTCAAAAAATATAACAAAGAATACAAAAAAGTATAACAAAATTTTTGTTTTCAAAAATGGATATTGAGCAATAGTCAGCATTTACAATATTAGTAAAACAAGCTCTAAACAAAATATCAGTATAAACACCACTTAAAACATATCAGTATAAACATTACTCGAAACAAAATATCAGAATAAACTCCACTTCAAACAAACTATCAGTATAAACGTATAAATGCCACTCTACACAAAATATCAGTATAAACACTACTTCAAACATAATATCAGTATGAACACCACTCCAATCAAAATATCAGTATAAACACCACTTCAATCAAAATATCAGTATAAACACTACTCCAAACAAAATATCAGTATAAACACCACTTCAAACAAACTATCAGTATAAACACCACTCTAAACAAAATATTAGTATAATTTCAAATTAGTATAATTTCCACTTCAAACAAAATATCAGTGTGAACAACACTCCGATCAAAATATTAGTATAAACACTATTTCAAACAAAATATCAGTATAAACGCCACTCTAATTAAAATACCAGTATAGATACCACTCTAAACATATTATCAGTATAATTAGTACTTAAAAAGCAACAACCAACATTCACAATATTTGTAAATTAAGCTGATTTTATTACTAATTATTTAACTGGTAGACAGTTTACCATCTTTGTTTTGTTTAACAAATTTTACAGAGGCATGCGTGTGCATGTATTTTTAACAAACTCTTCATTAAAATTAATACAAAATCAATACTAACACAATAAAACAAAATAATTGTAATGCAATAAAAGTAATACAAAGTACATTAAAAAAGATAATTATTAAAACTATAATTATAAAATTATAAAAATATAGATAAAATTATAAAAATATGAAAAAATATCAAAATTAAAAACTTGAATAAATTTTGGAAAAATCAAAAGTTATTTTAATCAATATCACGAATAATAAAAAAAACTTACTAGCCCTTCCATTGATAAAAAACAAGTTTCTTATAAAACCATCCTGAGCTTCATACCAAGGATCTGAAGCATATACTGTGACATTGTAAAAACTTTGAGCTTGGTTGTTAAATTCAACAGAAACAGCTTGATTATTTATTCTGATTGTATATACATATTGTGTACCAATCAGAACTTGACTTATTCTAACATTTGTCCATGTATTTAATAAAACGGGAGTTGAGGTAAAATTATAATTTAATACTCCATTTAAAGGATATGAGATGGTCATAGCTCCATTTGGATTAATAAAGACAGCTGGAACTCTATCACCGTATTCAACATTATTTGAACCAATAGTAAAATGAACAACACTACGAATGTTAGCAGCAATAGATGAAGGATAAACATCAAACGAAACTATATGTTCCGCATCTAGCATTGGTATATTAGCAACGATAGCACCCTTTGTCAATGGAATTGAGACATTTTTCACAAAGTACACTGCAGTATCAAAAAAATACAAAAATGTAATGCTATCATAATCATTTACTAAATCTAAGGTGGTTTATATAAATGAATATTGGTATTTCTAAGATAAATGTTTATGCTACATTTACTAATGCTATTATTATATATGCACAAACAACATTAGCTAATAAAAAAATATTCAGAGAAATGATTTTAAAATGCCCATTGCAACTTTTGCTTTTTAACAAAAAGTATCCGTTTAACTTTAATAAAAATAAAAAACAAGAATAGCCTTTTCTATTTGTGTTAACAAAAGATAAAAAAAAATTTTATTGCAACAAAACTGCTTTATCGCTTACAAAATATAATAATTGAAAATAATATAACTAGCCATTCCACACAATTGCAAAACAATGGACATTAAACATTAAAAATTATTATGTTTGTATACTATTCTTTTCAAAAAATGGGGGCACCCATAAAGTATATACGCAGGTAAGCAACTAAATTAGATCTTCCTTAATCTGTATGCATTTGTATGTTTTCAAACCCTTTCCCCGCCCCCCCCCCCAACCATTCTGCAGACATATTTATGTATATATATATACACCATTGGCCATAAATTAGAGCTCACTTTTTGATTTGTTTTATAATCCTGTTTAATTTTTAAAACTATTATACTTTTTCAATAATTTATTAGTACTAATTAATAAGTATTATGTTTACTGTTTATTTGACATGTTCTTTCCTTAAAATTTATTTTGTACGCCTAATTATATATAATTTGATAACAACTACTAAATAACTTTAATTTTTTATGATGGTAAAAAGTGAAGGCTCAATGCTTTATTTTTAAATTTTGAGTAATATATTGATGATTTTCTTCAATAATTTTTTTTTTTAATCTGCATTTATTATTTCTAATTTTTTTTTGTTTTTGTTTGAAATAGTACTAAAAGAAGCACAAATAAATTAAATAATAAAAAAGTTACAAAATGAGCGAAGAAATACAGCATGAAACTCCAAAATCACGATCAAGAATCTCTGAAAAAACATGTTATGAATCAATTTTTCTTCGAAACCAAGGACTATCTCATCGTCAAATAGCAAATGAGTTAAATATTGCATATTCGATTGTTGCACATATTTTAAAACGTTTTAGTAAAGCAGGTGACATTAAGGATCGCCGCCGATCTGGTCGGACAGCAGTAACAACACAAAGAGATGGAGGTTTGTTAATTCATGAAACATGACAGAAAGTTATGGTCAAACACTTTCATAAATTAAACAACACATCAGGAATATTAGTGAGTTAAAGAACTGTTAGAAGAATTCTTCATAGAAATAATTATATGTGGAGGTCTGTATACAAGAAGTCAATTCTTCAATGAAATGAATGTTGAGGTAGATATGCGAAAAAGCCGTGTTATACTACGGCGATCACTTCAAGTGATTTGATTCAAATTGTACATTAAAACAAACTAAGTAAAGTAGTGGCAGTATAGGCATTTGGGCCTGCATGAATTATGCAGGACTTGGATGCTATCGACTATTTGAAGGTCAACTTAATGCTTATAGATATATTGAAATTTTAGATAATTGCCTTCTTCCCTCAATTGATATATTTAAAGAAGAAAACAGCAATATCATATATCAACAAGATGATGCGTCATGCCATTTAGTGAAAATATACAAACAATGGTTTGTAGACAACCAAATATCTATAATGTCTTGGCCTGCTAAGAGACCTGACTTGAATTGCATAGAAAATTTATGGTCTTGGTTAGATCATTATCTTGGAAAAGTTCAAATTTTAAATGTCAAATAATTAAAAACTGAAATAAGAAAACTGCTTGACAATGTGCCTAAAGAAATAACTCAAAATCTTGTAAACTCAATGCCAAAGAGAGTAAATCAATGCTTACATGAGAAAGGAGGTTCTACAAAACTACAATTCTACAAAATATTAGAATGCTTTTTTTTATGGAATTTGCTTTTGTAAATTGTTGTTCTTATATATTATTTGGAATATATCCTTAACTTTTGACCAAAAATAACCTGTTTCATTATTTTACATTTTTTAGTATCAAGACCATTATCTTTAAATTTATTTTTTTGGATTTCCATGATGTATATAGATTTTACTTATAATATTAAAAAATAAAAAATAACTTTTATTTTAAAAAATTGCTTTATAAAAAAAAAAAAAAAGTGAGCTCTAATTTATGGGCAATGCGTCGCATGAGAATTATAGGGTTCTATCTGCCTTGTTTTATGTTGAAAGAATTTAACAATCAAAGTTTTAATTAATAATTAATGATAAAATCAAACCACTTAAAAAATGATATATTATATATCATTTTTTAAGTGGTTTAATATAAAATATGTTAATTAATGAAATATAGATAACATAAACAACTTATAATTTATAATTATAATGAATAACAGCTGTAAAACATGTATTAAATAAATATTGAAAGTTAAGTTCTCACAACATAAAAAAATGCAGATAGAACCATATAATTCTAATGTGATGAATGGTGTACATTACTCATCACAAAACCATCCGGCTCTTTGATAAATTAAAATTTTTCAAAGTATAAAAAACAAAAGCAAAATTATGTTTAATATTTTGAAAACTTTTAATTCAAGTTTAAGAAGAAGACGACAAGTGATAGTCTAACAGCTTACATACTCGATGTTTATACCAGCTCTCTCATCTTGAACATATTTGTGTATTTTTTGATAACCTTTTTTTTCCCCTTCTCCTCTTGTACCTTTGTACACACTTGACGGAAGACCCCAAATCATGCATTACAAAAAGTTGTAAAAAAAGATATATACAGTGTAATTTTTTTTTATTAGAAATTAAGTCTATAAATTTCACATATCATCAACACAACTATAATTATTTAGAGCAAAAGTAGATCCTATTATACCTGGACATCGAAATTGCTTATCTACTGTTATACAACCATTGGAACATGATGTAACGTTTCCAATACACTCATTTACATCTTAAAAAAATTCATAAAAGTCTATAAAATAACATAAAGATTGATTTATTATAAAGAATCTTTTTTTATAAATTTATTAAACTATAATTATTAAAAATGTTATTATCATATAAATTTATTAAAAACTTAGAAACATTTATTTATAAAAAATGTTTATGATCTAATTTAGGTTTTTAAATAACCCTGAAATAATGTTTTTGCACACAATAAGGGTTGGATTCAGTTGGTTGTAAGCCTAAAACCCATAATTTTGCTATTTGTTAAATAAAAGAAGTATTATAATGAGCAAATTTTCTACAGCTCAGTATTGGTTATTTTTTGCAGTAAATAGCTATTGTACTTTAAACTCTTTATTTACATTAAATTTAAGGTGGCTTTTAAAAAATAATTTTACCTTTGGAATGAGTAAGGTATCAGTTACATAAATTGAAAATTGCAATCACTTTTTGATTGTATAAAACATGAAGCAAATTTTAAATGTGATCTCCCTAGTAATGTAATATGGTAACTATGGTAGCTTGTTGCTTCATGTGGCTGGTGAACTTTAACCAAAAAAAAAACTTTTAAAATAAAAAAGTTGTTTTAAAATAAAAAAATAGTTTTTTAATGCTGATAATTGATAATTGCAAAACTTTTAATGTCTATAGTGATAAACTGCAGCAGTTCTACTTAGTCCCTAATACTTTAGAACTGCTTAGCCTAAAAGCTTGAGCACTTACTCCCCTGCTTCTACTCCACTATTGCGTTGTTGTTGTTTTAATTATAAATACATATATGGTTATAGCATAAGTGAGGTATAATTGCTTCTTCCACCAACCAAAACATATTTATTATTCAAGATGCATTCTTTTACTATCTGTTCCATTATGCTCAAAAATTTTATGTAGGTTGTATGGTTGTATAAAAATATTTGGTTGAAAAAAGCAATGGTTGTATAAAAATTTTATCTAGTTTTTCTTTTGGAACAACTTTAAAATTCTCATTTATGTTTTCTTGACTCATATTTTCTATCAGTTTTTTTTGCATTATTTTTTTGCAATGATAAAAAAACATTTATTTTTAATAGAAATGTTATGTTGTCATACCAAAATAAAAAATAAGCAGAGTCAAAGAAAATAAGAAACTTAACTTAGAGGTCAAAGACAATATATAAATCAAGCAGTTAAGTGATTTGGAAATTTAACTAACAGTCAGAGGATGTAAACTTCATTTTACAACAAATAAAAACTGATGTAAAATAAATGTACAGCTCAAGAATACGGTTATTGAAATCTTTGTGAATGAAAGGATAATATTTATTATTTTCGAGATTCAAAAATGAAACAGTTAAAGTTAAATTAGAATCATAAAGAAAATGGTTTTGGTGAACTTAACATGAAGTAAGATTTAACGTAAGGTTTTATGGATTTGTAAGATTCAATGAATAAAAAAGAAATACTTTTTTTTATTAAATAGTATTTTTTTATTCCATAAGAAAACAGATTTTCTATTTTCCAATGGAATAAAAAAATACTTCAGCCGTGTATATTTAAATACTATTTGAAACTTTATACTTTACCAGAAATGTTTTTGCATATTTTTTATAAATGTCTTGTCAACTTGATAACTATTTATGAACACTGAACTTTGTTAAAATAAGATTATGTAAAATACTTTCAATACTATTAAGCCTAACTTGAAAGCAACTGCAGGGCGGCCAATGGTAATGGAAATCATGGAAATGTTATGGAATTTTATTTGGTCATGGAAAAAGTCATGGAACATCTAAATTTTCATTGAAAGTCATGAAAAATTCATGGAACTTTTTAAAATTATCTTAATTTTTTTTTACTGGCAATATTTTTAGAATGCAAAGAAAAGTACTAGTATGTCTAGTCTAAGTGTTTTTTGAAAAAGGTATTTTTGCAATGTAAGCTATCAGAGAAGTAAGAGAAAAAGAGTTTTTTTTAGACATGATTTCAGAACTTTCTACTAATTAGTTTTTAGATTGCATGTTTTATAATGACCAAGTTGCAAATGCTTAGTACATGGCAAGTACTGAATATTTTAGTCTAGTGATTTATCATAAAGGTTTATGAAGAGTCATGGAAAAGTCATGGAATTTTATTTTCAAATTAGAGTGCCCACCTTTAACTGGGGTTCAAATTTTACCGAGGTCAGGATTGAGTTTGATAAAATATAACCTTAGCCAGGGCCAGGTTTTGACCCATTTAAAGTAATAATTAGTATCAAGACAACATTTAAAGTATATTTTATTCAAAATTTATGTTATATTTTGTGTCTGATCATCATAATCATTATTGCCATTATAAAGATCATCATCATCTTTATCATCATTATAATTATAATCATCATCATCATAATCATCATCATCAGGCTTCAGCCTGCCTTTTTTTATGCTATTTCTCTAATAGAAACGATTTAGAGCATTTTCTTTTCCACTTTTCTTAAGGCACTCTCTTTTAGTTTTCTTACTTCTACCTTTACCATTTAATCATGAAGCTGCTACTTCTGATACTTAAATCACTTTAATCTTTTCTACGAAACATTGTTTGATGCAACATTTTTTTCTAATCTGCCCTTATAACTCTCACCCATCTTAATGTTTTTATTTTATGTACAACCTACAACTTTTTAAGTCTTCAGTTAACCATTTCCTAGTATTTTAACCCTATCCTTTATTTTAAAGTAACTCATAACTTAACAGTGGTTGCTTGCAAGCTTGTTAGAAGTAAATAAGAGTTTAAAAATATATAACTATATGCCAGTATTTAACAAATAGTAAATGTAAGTATAAATTTATAATATATAAAGTATTACAAATTTTTTTTTAGCCCCAGCTATCCACCCCTGCTAAATCTTATAATTTTGCTAAAGCTGGGTTTGCAAAAAGTCTTACTTTTAGCTTGGGCTAGACCAAGTCACTTCCTAAGCCTTACTCAAGGTAGCATTTACCAACACAGGTAGCATTATTTTGAGCCAACATCTATTCCTTGTTACATAAAAGAAAATAACTGCCGTATGTTACTGCATACAGTATGCAGTTATTTTTGTATTATTTATTTTTTAACATTTATTTTATTAAGCAACAGAGTATGATACTCTGTTGCTTGAAGAACAAGGTGGATTGCTACTAGTACACTAATTTTTGTCTTGAAAATTTAATTTTTATAATGCATATCAAAATTTTCAAATAATTAAATGTATAAATTAAAAATTAAAAATTTACCAATACAGCTTGCATTATCTTGACCCAACACCCATCCTACATTACATGAACAAATATAGCCACCATTTGTATTTAAACATACTCCATTACTCCAAGAACATGGGGGATTGGGATTATTGCACACATCAATATCTTAATGAAAGTAATATAATTTAATTTAATTTCATTAACTTATATTTATTACATTAAAAAAAAAAATAATGGTTTTTACTTACTTGAAATAACAACCTTTAGTTAAATAATAATAATAAAATACTATTCTTAATAAATAAAAATAAGCTAAACCAAATATTGTTATATTGTTTGATTAGTAACTTTATTGATATTCATAAATTGACAAAAAAAAATTTCTTTTTTTTTTTGAAATGTCATTTAATTAATTGTTGAATGTATCTTTTTGTTACTAAACTAACTTCACAGCAGTTATATTAAACTTGCCTTCAAATGAAATTTCTTTATGAAACAAAGAAAAAATAATTAGCATATCTGCTTATTTAAAATCATGCTTTTGTTGTTCTGTTTGCTCAAATAATTTACTAATACGATATCTACTTGTACAATATCCATTATTAAAATAAAGTATATTATGTATTTTCTCATAAGCAGCAGACCAATTATTTATGAAAGCAAAGATTATAAGTTTAGGGGAAAATGCCCGGATCTCTTTAGGTAATTTTTTCTTCAGCTAATCAGTTCCACAATTTTTAAACCGACATTAAAAGTTATGTCAAATTAATAATAGTCTAGCATTCATTAATTTAGTAATGAAACTTATTTTCTGTTAAACAAGCAATGCCTTCTACTATATATTCTATAAGGGGGTAGTACAGTAATTAAAATTGAAAAAATCATTTTTTTATTTCAATAAAATCATAGTAGATTCCTAATTTTTTCTTCGATTGCATAAAAAATTTTGGTATCTGCAACTAATCTTTGTTTAAAATGGTTCAGTATCAATTGCTTTATCCATTGCATTCCTTTAATTTTTCTGTTGCTATGCTTTTTTGCAATGAAGTTATGCCACAAAAGTCAATAAAAACACTTCTACACTGACAGTATAAATTAAAGTATTGTTATTCAGCTATTACTTCTTGTTTATTGACTTGATTTATGCATGTTAATTGCGCACAAGACAGCTATTTGTACTTTATGTTTTTGTTAAGGTTATTTTATAACAGTGATAAAAGGGTTCAGACTGAAGTTAAATGGAAAATATTCCACATTTTTCCTCTTTCAATAAGTTGTCGAACAAAGAAGCTGTACAGGGTCTTTAAAATATAAATGAAGATTTTAACTATATTATGAGATTTATTTTAACCATTAACATAGTTATGCTTCTTAAATGCCTAGAATGTAAAGATTTTGTAAATTTACATTTTAATTTTAATGAAAAGCTAGATGGTACAAAATACAGTCTAAAACATTTACCCATTTACCCATAGAAAATTTCCCATTATTACTAAATGACATTTAGTAATGATGGGTAATTTTGTAGTTTAAGGTAAAGACGTCAAATAAGTCTCCGTAGTAGAAAAGCAATATAACCATAAAACAAAATCAAAAAAAAATAATTTTATTTGTAATACAAAATAGCTTTTGTGGTCAAAATAAAACATTAGTTGGTTTAATGTAAAAAAGTGAAGATTTTAAACCTTTTTTGTTTACTTTTTTTTTTTAACTTGCATTTTTTTCAAAATCATATTATTGGGACTGGCGTTACAACTATTTTCAAAACTAATTATCGAATTGATTTGAAATTTGGCCCACTTATTTATTGTATTAGTATTTACAATGTAAACTAGAATAATCTTTGCTACTCCTCTCGGTTAGTTTTTTTTTTTTTTAAATTTTGTGCCCTTAAATGACCCCATTTTTGTCCAAATTTTTAAAAATGCTAATATTTTATTGAGTTTTCAACCTAACTAAAATATTTTAGTCGATGACACAATGACATATACAATATACCATCAGCCAAAATTCCAATCATAAATTATGAATGGTTGCTGAGAAATCTTTGATGCTCTTTACCCCATTTTTCTACCTTTATTGAGTAATAAATAAATATTAAAAAAAAAATTTATTTCAAAAATTTTTTCTAGCTTTCTAATAGTAGTTCCTATATTATACAATTTCTATCTTAAAAGGAGGCTATCATAATTTGTAATAATAAAAAATTAGATAAAAAATAGATCAACTGAAAATTTTTAATTTCAGTTATAAATCTCTAAAATCTGAATAAATATAATGGCCAGATTGTGAAAAATCCTACCTATTATAGCAAACAATACTTGTATTAAAAACAGATTATATATAATAACATATATAAGTTATATGAGAGACATGTTTACTTTAGCTAATAGAAAAAAATTGGATTTACTTGAATCCACTTGAATATACTTTTTGTATATTAGATGAAAACTTTTATAGATATTTTATACTTAAAGGCCTTGAACATTTTGGCCTCAGAGATGTTTTACTAAGACATCTGTGTATTTTACTAAAACATCTTCATTTTACTAAAACATCTCTATCTTATGCTAAAACTTTTAGCTTTATATATTAAAACATTTTACAACAGTCAAGACACAAAAATAGAAATTAACAGTATCTTCTTATAAAAAATAAATATTTTCAAAGGTACAAAGCAAGGTTTTTTTTTATTGTGGATACTAAATATCATACAGAAGAAGTATTAAGGATACTATGTATCATTGAGAAGTATGTAGATGATACCAGCACTTATTTAACCAGATATAACTCCATTAAAAATATTGGCGAAGCATTTAAGTTAAGTTTTAACGCTACTGGCACAAAGACTAAAAATATCAAATGCTAGGAAATATGGTGAGCGAAAGATACTATGACTCAGAATGATGTTTTGATTTTTCAAAAAACGAACACCAGATATATTACTGTATTGAGAAGAAATGTAGGAGAGTGCTTCTACATTGACTAATTTAGGGATAACATGCAAGGGAATGCTGCTACATCGACTGAGGGTTTGGGTTAGGACAGGTATAGATTATTCGATTTAGCAGCACCCTCCTAAATTTCTCCTCAAATCAGTAATATATCTGGTCTTCCTTTTTAAAAAAAATCAAAACCTCATTTTGAAATATGACTTGGCAGAAATTATAAGATTTTTTTTCTGAAAAATAATTTACTTTTTAAGATAAAATAAATAAATTGCTATGGCAATATAGGATTATTAAGAACTTTACACAACAAATTATAAAAATGGAAAAGTACCAAGGGCGAATCCATAGGGAGGGGGGCGATGGAGCGATTGCCCCCTCCCCCTCCTTAGAATGTTTTGAAGTTTTTTTATTTTTGAAAATTTATATATTTAACGAGATCGTCTGCATACCCCAAATCGAAAAAAAAAATAAAATCGCCACCTCCTCCTTACAATATGGTCTGGATCCGCCCTTGAACAAGACTAATAAACCTTAGCAGCAAACTGACAGAACTCATATGCAACAAGTGCTAAAAATCCAATAGGGTGTCCCAAAAATATATCATACATTGAATTTTAATATGCAGAATACTGCATTTAGCATCATTTTGTTCATAAATACAAAAAAAGCAAAAGTCTCTAGCTGATTCAGAAGGTGAATTTACTTTTAATTTATTTTTTTATTTTAGATTTTAAAAATCTAAAATGAAAAAGTAAATTATTAGTAAACTCACCTTCTGTATCAGCTAGAGAATTTTATTTCTTTATTATATTAAATATATTTGATTTGATTTAATTCGGCTGTTTGTTTAATATTTGCACTAGGGTTGTTCATTTTTGCAAAAGTTGAGTTTTCTATTAAAAAAAAACTTTTTGAAACTTTTTTTGTTTCGGTTAGTTTGAAATGATTTCTGATTAGGGGTCATTGCATTACTACGTAACGCTAAAAATGGTTATTTTTGAACCACCCACTCACTCTGTCACGTTTGATCACATTTTCCTAGACCCACTCTCCCACCTCCCCCAGCGTGAGGTTATTTTATTTTTCTTCAAGATTGGGGGGGGGGGAGGATTAAAAAACTGATTTTAAATTGTTTGTATTCAGCTGTATGTATTAACTTCTATTATCAAATGCATTTTTTTATCCTATAGTAGTGTTATACTGTAAGAAATTACATAACTTTATTGAAAATGTTTTGGATCGAAACGATTCTCAAAGGATCAAGTGAATAAATCATGAACATATAGAAATATAATCAAATTGAAACTGTTCGATTTTTAAAATATTTTTTTTCTAACATTCTAATAAAATGCTTATAATAATTTATAAAATTTTAACCACTTAAAACTGCTTGAAAAAATTGTTTCTTCCAAATTAGTAATCCATGGAAATTACCACGTAGTTCCGAAGATAAAACTAAAAACGATCCAAACAGTTCAAACTGCGGTTTCTGGTTCACATAAGCGGGTGAGCAGACGTGTTTTTCTGAACTTTCGCCAATATCTGCAAATTCAACAACATCTTCTCCGACTAATACGGTGCTATTTATTTTTTGTTTGCGACAGATGCGATGATTTGTCTAGGCTGCAGCAGTTGGAAAATTCAAGCCACAAACTTGACATTGGCTCTTTTCCAAATCCGCGAAGGAGACTGATGGACAATACAAATCAAATGGGTATGGCCGTCTGAGTTTGACTTGATTTGTAGATTCTGGGTGAATATCTTGAAAAAGCAGAAGAATAGACAGATAGCAAAAATGACAATTTATTGGTACTGGAATCTTTGGAGGCAATGCATTAATCCTAAACACTGTTTATTCAAAAACTCGAAAATATGGTAAAAACCTGTTTGGTAAAATTTTTTGAAATTGAGAAAAGCGAAATGGTTTGCAGCAAGATACATCTGTGCATATGACCACTTGAAGCATGTACTTTGAACTCATTATGCGCTGTGACCGCCAGAGCTGGTTTGAAACTTCAACTCTGGAAACTCATAGTGAGGCATTGCTATCTGGTATTGGAATAGCCATACATGGATATTTTTCGATCACTGTTTTACTCCATATTGATGCTAAAACATTCATGGCGTGAAATAAACTTTTTTATCCAATTTTTTATCGATTATTTTTCCATTTGTGAAACAAAATGTTCGTGATCAAGAACCAATACACAAATG